CGAACGGCAATCCTGGGACCGCCACCGCAACACACTACCATAAAAAAACGATGGTAAGAAGTAGTGGCAGAATAACAACACACTACCATAAAAATTGGTTAGAACTAGTGGCCGCATTCATTAAAGAACATGGGTTCGAACCTTGTGTCGCGAAAAAATTGGATAGGATCCATACACAAGTACCGTGCTGGGTTCGCTAACCCACTAACTTTCTGAATCTCAATCTAGTGGGGTAAGCTTAGCCAACAGAGGCGTGCTGGTAACTGTCACTAAGATGGTACTTTGTCTGCTGCACCCTCTATGTCTGCTGCGCCCTCCATCTGACCGGCACGAAGTTCGACGAAGTGGTAGAAGATGTCGCGAATGTCTGGCGGAAAAGGAATTACAAATGCTAAGCTACTACAGAGCCTTGGTTGAGTCAGATAATCTCCCCAACCAGGGTTCTGTGGTAAAATGGGTGTCGAGGGCCTAGATGCGAGACTGGAGTTTCCACCGATTCTATGTCAAGGTGACGATTGGCTGAGCAAGATCGTCCGCGGGGTAGGATGATTGTTATGAGGTCCTGCAGTCTAGTAGATTTTAGAGTAAACAAGATCCCTCTGCGACTAGGTGCGCTCATATATACATAAGATGACCACGGAGCTCGGAACTAGGAGATAGGCGCTGTATTATCCTTTTTACAATCAGGCAGTTTTCTCCTCACTATGTTTCACTAAGTGCACTATAATGAATGTCGGTTTAACTAATCAAAATAATAGTGTTCTTTTTGAGCACTGGATCCATGCTCGCGCTGTCTACTGCAAATGGTAGAACACTTAGCGAGTGCTTCTTTTTGTACTGGAACATGAAGCGACAAATTTTTTTGGAAGGCTCCACAATGTCACGACTATTTGGCGATCAGGTTGTTCTTCATCTGTCAGTCATTCTTACTATTTGCAATCAAGATATTCAGGTTACCATACAAACTCGCAATATCGAGAAAGTGTTGTCGGATTGCTTTCCCACTGAGACATTCCAGAAGTGTAACCGACGACTCACTGTGCCTGCTTTGGATATATCCATGGCTCCAGCTCGTTTACATATTTTCAGGTAATAATGTCTATTATTATACCAGGTTGTCCCATAAGTCTTTTCATACCTGAACTTTCACAGATATAAGTCAGTTCTTCTTATTTTTGACTAGTGAACCAGCATTTGAAGGTCCAAGATTTGCATCCCGCGCTTCGGGTTCGCCCTCGATTTCCCGCTACTTGCACATTTTGAATTGGCGTTACGATTCGTAATTTTATACATAAGATGGGATGCGGGGTACCATTCGACAGCTTAGAGGAAGCTTTACATACAAAACAGTTCTCAGAAAGTTTGAACCAAGCTTGATCCGCGTTAAGTTTTGAGCGTAAATAGAAATAAATCGAAAATTCCGAAAAAAAAGTAATCGTATCTCTGTTCAAAACAACTGTGCGAACTTCCTACTTGCTCACGCATATACTCTCCCCATCAGATATTCATACATACACCTGCCGTCTTTTTCTGGTGGCTAAATTTTTTATTATCATCGCTTCCGCTTGTGCAAGGTCTGGTTTTCTTGTCAACTGTCTCCATGCTATCCTATCTAAGGCAAGGTCTTCATCTATTCCAAGTTCATGCTGGTCGGCCTCAATGCTGTCCAACCACCTCATCTTGGGCCTACCCCTGGGTCTTTTACCTGGT